GTTGCTGCCTTTAAAGTTACTTTACAAGAAATAAAAAAAGTCTTTCATTTATCCAACTACTCTCGTAATGAAAGAATATCATTTGGGTGAATACCCAGAAGATAATTTAGGTAGGCCTTCTTAGGTAAAGCCAAAAGGCCTTCTGAAGTATGTCCTATAAAAGCCCTTTTGGAAGGCCTTCCATGCGTAGCGAAAGAAGAAGCCCTTAAATTTGTGCCACTCCATACAAAAAAGAAAGGAGAAAGGAATGTAGAGTGGAAGGTCTTTTAACTCCTGAGATTATCTACTGGGTAGCAATGAAAATGGGGTACATTTTTGGTTAGGACTTTAGGGGAACTGCAGAGATGGGCATTCGCGGTAAGTACTCTCGTTGGTAATTTGTATTGGCATGAGATATTGCGTTTTGATATTTCCCTTTATACTTGCTCCAGGTTGAGCCCTTAAGCTAGCAATCGAATTGAGCTTTATTGTTCATTAAATGTTGGAGCCACTTTACCCATCATTGTATAATGCGAATATGTTGAAGTTAATTTTTATTAGTTACTTATGTTTTCTTTTTTTTACCTGTAGTCGTCCCATCACCCCGCAGGAATCCATACGCGACGCAACATTTACTGTATTGCTCCATATGTCGTATTGAGGTTTTTGTGCACCAATAACTCCTGCAATGACCGGGCCATGGTTCAGTCCGATACGCAACCGGAACCGTTGAAATGATTCACGATTAATTGAGTCTAATATTGACATCAGAGCGATGGCAAATTCTACCAATATGGTGACATTATGCTCTTCAGTGCGCTTCTCATCCTTCGTTAACGGAAGTATACGCCAGGAGTTGATAGTGTTGGCGGCAAAGCGATTGGTGCCATTCCATTTGATAGCGGAAACGTAATTGAGCGCAAATGAAATTACATTAAAGCAGCCGTTAGTCAGGTTGAATATGCCAATCAAACCCATTTAAATCGAAAAAGACGGAATAAGTGAATAACAGCTATGGTTAGCATACATACTCAAATGCCGTTAGAGTAATATGCATGTATGCATGTAAAAAGGTGCGCATAGATATAAACATATCGCACAATTGCTGCAAGAGTGTCATAATCAAAAAAAAATTAAAAAAAAAAATTAGTTAAGTATGCAGAAATTACCGCTTGCTGTTTTTCAATGTTGTTTAAAAATAATTACCAGTAGTAGATCCGAATAAGGCACGATCTTCACCTATCTGTTTAATGGATGCAATCTATTTTGTATGAAGTTTATGTTAGGAAATATTTCGCGAGTGGGTTGGCTGAAAAAAGCTATAGGATATTTCAAGGCGAATTAATATAAGGTGATAGCAGGAGTACAAAAACAACAATTTACATGTGTTTTGTTTTTGCTTTGGCGGCATAAACTGTCAAAATCTGTAACAGTGTGTGTAGAAATTCAAACAAAATATTTTAATTTGATATCAGAAGCTGTGCGGCGAAACACATACACAAAATCAGCTGAGCTAGTAACACCACCTTATATAAATTCGCCTTGGGATATTTTTAATGAAATTAAATCAATTTGGTTGTCTATTTTTTCCTGGCCTACCTATCGAGTTGGCAGGTATGAACTGGCAAGTAATAATCGTAATTTTCACTCATCTCTTTAACACATTCTATAGGCTTTATTCTTTCGATTAAATATATCCTGGCCAGGATTTTTTCAACCAACGCACTCACGAAGTATTTCCTAACACGTTAAATCTCATACAAAATAGATTTCATTCATTAAACATATACATATGAAGGTGAAGGTGGGGCCTTATTCGGATCTTATACTATAGCTCACCAGAACAAAATATGTATTCATTTATGCTATGGAAATATATGTAAATTCAAAACTTTAAAGTTCGAGTTTTGCTTTTTTGAGTTATGACACTATTGAAGTAAATGAGTGATATGTTTGTATGTTGATGATATATGTATGCATGTATGTATGTTAATAAATGAAGTGTGTTTGTAAATCAGGCGTTTTCAGCAGCTGACACGTTAAGCTTTAGAAAAACACTAAGCTAACAACTTTTATCCTAAATTCGCAAGTAAAGTCTTGGCTATTATATAGAAGCGCCTAGGACTTTTAAGTGCAAATTGTGATAGAGAGTTATTTTACGAAGCTGTAAATGTAAACTTACCGCAAAATTACGCATCAGCTGCATTTGTGGCATAGAAAGAGCAAAATGCTAGTGGTTAATAAGCCTTAAAATTTAATATATTTTTGTGTGAATAATGTTTTTAGACCAGTGACAAAGTGTTCGAAAATGAATTTAAAAAGAAGTATGTATGTTTGTAAGCAGAGAACGAAAACAAACAATAGCAAACGTATCGGTATCGTTTAGATTCGCTCACACAAGGTAATGAAACACAACCGATTCAAATCACTCGGACACATTTTGCGAGCGGTAACTTTACTATGCTAGCATTCGCGATAGCTAACGCAAACAAAGCAATTGAATGCAGCGAAATAGGGAAACAAACGAAACATAAAGTTAGTGCTCACAACACAAAACGAAACCATTCGTTTAGTGGCTCAGAATCTACTGAAGCAGTTGAACCATTCTGCTAAGTACATAATAATAATAATAGATTGACGCTTACACTTACGCTTAGTGTTTGGCCGAGCTTCTCCTCCGACTTGTAACGTGCGCCTTGATGTTGTCACACAAAGCGGAAGGACCTACAGTTTTACGCCGACTCCGAACGGCGATTGTATTTTTATGAGAAGCTGTTTTTCATGGCAGAAATACACTCGGAGGTTTGCCATTGCCTGCCGAGGGACGACCGCTGTTAAGAAAATTTTGTATTATTTTTTTTATTTTTTGCGATGTTGCTTTGACCAGGGCTTGAACCCAGGTGCTGCGGAGTGGAAGCGCGCACTGCTTATCACTACACCACAGGGGCCGACTAACTACATAGGCAACATTAATTTGCTGAGCACTAAAGGAATGATTCCTTTTGTTTTTCGTATCGTGTATTGCTTCGGTTTTGCTCAGGATGAGTACCTTTACTACAATCGAAACCATGTAAGTGAGCAAAAGAACAAACGATTCGTTTGGTTTATGCTCGGCTACCCGTTGAAACGTATCGTTTATTGTTAGCGCTCGGAAACATTATGAGAAAAGGAACACAAACATTTCGTACTTTTTGTGGCAATGGGTGAAGTGATACGTTCGGTTTGTTTTCGTACTCTGCTTGTAAGTGTTCTTACCATAGCGCCGTCCTCCTTGCCTGGTCGCAGACCAGACGCGCACATATAGGTGCTTGCAATAGTTTTGATTTTTTCAATGCCACTAAATTTGGGTTTCAGAAGCAACTAAAAAATTAAGATATAAATGTCACCCTTCATTGAAATAAATCGCTTCATCTATAACACGACGATTATTATTACCTTATCAAAATCGCAAATAATCTCATTTAGCAACCGCAAACATTCAAGTCCTTGTTTATTGACATCAGTCTCATCATAGAATTCCTTGTAATTTGGTATCGAAGCAAACATCACAGCTACGCAGGAATAGCTCTCGTGATACAACTCAGTTGAGCGGTCTTGGTGAAGAAAGTGTGTGGCCACATGAGCGGGTAAAATGTTTTCTAGAAGAATCTGAAATTTTCACAAAGCAAACATTTTTCGGAATGTGTTATCCGAATTAAGCTGCATGTTTACATTACCTTATTGATGCCACGCATTGTTTCAACTTCTTCCTGCTCCACCTTTAATTTCGCCTTCCACAAGAAATCTGTGCGGGCGACATATTCACCCTGGCGGTCTAGCGTGTGCAGCACTGCAACCACCAGTAGCAATAAGAGGAATCCTTTAAGCTCTATTGGCAGACTACAAAACATACGCCGAAATGTAGGCAATTCGAGTTTGTGGAAATTAATGAATATACGTATGTATGTATGTATGTATGCTATTACTTACGCACTAATTTGTTGCAAATTAAATAATATATATAGGTCACTAAAACCCAGCACAACTATTTGACATATGAGAGCCGCAATCATGGTGATCAGCTTGAGAATGAAGCCAGAACGTAGGAAAGCGGAGACTGCTGCCAGACTAATGGCACAGCAAAATAAATAGATTGGCGCCGTCTCTACTTGATTTGAAGTATATAATGGAACCTGCAGATTAGTATAAATGATGTCTGGCAAAGATGTGCCATTGATTGCAGATGATAGTGAGTCGGTTAAGTTACTTTCTTGCTTTATCGATTCAATGTTGATATCGGACATAAAGTTTATCTACAAGGGAGAATTCCGGGTTCAAGTTATTATAAAAGTCAGTTTAGTTATGAATAGTAAGAGCATACTTACCACGCTGAATACGGCGCATGCAGATATTAGTATATTTACTATAATGAAAATAGCGAGTCGAAGGTATCGACTACTGGCCACCACTTGGCCGGGACCATTGCGGTCTGTCGTTGACGCATTCATTTCGGGCACCTGGATATTGCTTAGGTACAAAAATAGCGCAAGTGAAATGAAGCTGGCTGCCAGTGAGCCGATCAAAGCTATATTTCTGTATGGGTCAAAATAGGGTATACGTACATATGTATATAATTTTTAAATTCAGTTAACTGTCACCGCAATTTAACTCACTTTTCAATAACGACTAGCTGAATTAGAGCGATTGAGAGAAAAAGCACAAACGCGCAAATTAAATCGAAACGGAAATGCGTATCTGGTTGGGCGCGATACATGGCCTCGCGCGGTGTGTTACGGTACCACATTGTGAACGGTTTCAGCTCCGTAGGAGGTCCAAAGAAATTGAAATTGAAACATTTACGCTCCGGTGGCAATAGATTAGATTCAATCATGGCAATGCTCTACAAAACAAAACACACAAGCGTTCAGGGGGGTAAAATTAAATATCTAAATAAGAAACAAAGGACAGTAAAAGGACAGCGACTGTAAAGAAAACAATTTTTTTTTTAAGTACACATGTAGTATGCAGTATCTGTATCAGTATGCCTAGTCCATCGGCTGGCGTGACAAAAGCAAAGTTTATACAAATGGTGCACCGCCTGGTTGGGAAGTGAAAGTTTGTCATTGCATCTTCGGGCGCCTTAATAGACTCGTAAAGTTTTACTTTAAAGTGAATTATGCTGGAAAGTTGAAAATTTTGGCTGGCAATGCATTTGCTTTGTGCACACACAACGGCACTCACGCGTTAGCATGCATATCGATTGACCGTTTTCTTTTTGTCTGGTAAACTGAAGCTACTACGTACATATGTAGATGCTTCATCTAATTTTGTTGGATCGCACCTACCGCTAGTCCTATGTTTTTAACCAATTTCGATTCTGCAATATTGGCAAATGGTTTATCCGCACCCCAGCACTCTACATATTTTGTCATCTTGGAGGAGGGACGATTACGATTAACATGACCTAAAATAGAGTATACAGTATGTTTTTACAATATGGTAATTTTTGCTATTTAAACCAAAATTACAAAACTCATGCGGACGTCATGCCATGCACTTGTTTTTGGTTAGCGTCTCAGTCTGGAAGCTAGATTTATTATTAATGTACCATTAGTAGTAAATTTAGTACCTTTGCCGCAAGAGTGGCATAAGCCAAGAAGTGAAAAACTCCATAAAAATTGCTTTAAGGTTTACAGTTTACATACGCTCCAATGGTTAAGATACATTTTCTTTTAATGAGCTATAGTTAACCGATATGAAATATTTACAGAAAATAGCACAATACCTGGCACGTAATTTCTGCAAAAACAATTTTCTTTTTTTTTGATTATGACAATGGTTCAGTTCGCTATGCAAAAGCCAGTAAGAATTAGACAGTAACAAAATTCAGAGTATAAGGTATCTTAAAGCTTAAACAGACGGCAGCGTTGATTCGGATTAACTCGGACTTAATCCAGAATAACTGCAGTTAATTGCCGAGTTGATCCGGATCAACGCTACCGTCTGTTTATGCTTTTACTCTCCCAAAGAGAGAAACTTACTAAGCTTTGCGAGAACAGGAATTTGCAAATATTTGCAAGCTTCACGATTGCATTTAAATTATTTCAGGTGGAAAACAAAACACGACCTATACGTACATATATTTCTTCTTATTCTGGCTTTCTTCAACCTACGCCTCAATTTATTTGTGGAAGTCACTGTCGGATTTCCTATATCGACAGTGGTGTCGACTGCGTTCCGATTACGAATATAGGTTTTTCAGCCGAGTACCTTTGAAATGTTTGGAATTATTTAAATTAATTGCATAAACAAATATTTACATACTTCATTCATTAGTAAATCGCAACAAGATTGTTCATTTTTAAATTTAACGAACTTGTTGATTCAAAATAATGTTGACAAAAATGCAACCGTGTGCCACAATCCTGCTTGCAAACTCTTGCTCCCCCCTCCAAATGAAATGTCAAAATTGTGCTCTCTCCTTGCAAGTTTTACTAGGTTTTTGGCCAAACGAACACGATTTGGTAACAGTTGGTACCAACGTTTTGCATAGCGAACACTCTTAATCTAGCAGCAAAGGTGCGATATTCTCTTACGCATGTTACACTAAATAGCCACAATATGACAAAACTAACAATTTTTTTCTTTCCCAATCCATACTTGAAGTTTAAACCAAGAAGTAAATGTTACAATACATTATACTAAAGCTAGTCTCCAGACTTACGGTACCGTGAACTTATATGTAGATGTAGTTTACTTTGATGAATGTACATGTAGGCCATATCATACTTACCAGCATGGCTGCGAAAGCTCTCTCCACTGTGTATGGACAGCTTGCGACCATCCATAAAGGCGCCTGATGAACGTCTTCTGTCCGCAAATGAAATAAGACCTTAAAACAAACAAAAACAAAATTCCGAAAGTCTAATGGTGTCTTCGTTTTTACCAAAAAATTGCGTCTTTTAATTGACGCTTCTTCTGTTCGTGTTCGATTCTAAAATAAGGGCAAATCAGTGAAAAAATTCCGTGTTCGTTTCTTAAAATGTCACAATCTATGTAGTAAGGCAAAAATAGGCACATTCTCTGCCATTTGAAGAATTGCCAGGGGAGATAGTTGCCCTTAAAATCAGACATTTGCTTAAAACGAAAATATTATGAAATTCGTGGGTTAGACAATGTAGGCAAAAACATGCACTTTTACAGAATCGAGTGTAACATCGAAAGTATTTTGCAGCATAGGAGGGCCACATTTTTTTGGAGGAATCGAAAATACTATGGCTGCATTTCTTTATTCATTCCGAACGTTTAGATTTTTTTTCGTTTACTTAATATTTGGAACGTTCTTTGCAATGTGTAACCATATATTTCAAACGCATTCTGTTTATTCTGCCTGTGAGATGGGATAATCTGGAATGTATAAAGAAACGCAGCCTATAACAAATCCTCAAAACAATGTCAAATACATTAGACCAAATAAAAGCTTAAGAAAAGACATGTAGAATTTTTTATATGACTTAATCTCGACTAATAAGTATTCACAAGATCTGAAGTATCAAGTATTCAGAACACGGTAGCTAATAATGTTTGCACTGTGAAGGTGTTGCTTTGGATTTGTGCTTTAAACTTCTCCTTTGAATCTTACCTTGCACCGACAACTTGCGTCGAATTTTTTCTGGCCCCTCAGCGATAGACAAATTGTAAGCATTAGCCACTGAATTGTTTGAAGCATTGTTGTTGGTGTTAACATCGTTGACATTACTATTACAACTTGATTCCGTCGTACCACCATTGCAGCCATTTGCGCTCATTGCTACTGCGCTTGCTAATGATAACGATGACTTATTGCCAATAGTTTGAGCATCTTCCAATGCTGTATTTGAATCTTTGTCACTGCGATGTTTATTCCGATCTAACGGATTTGATGTCTGTGCTATTATATCGTCTTCATCTTCTTCCGACAGTTCCTTTATAGACATAGATGTTGTTATCATTGGGTCCTGGCTGTTAGTGGACGAAGGTGAGAGTTTTCCACGTTCAAGTGCGAAAATCCCACCGCTTAGTCCGCTAATGGCACCGGTAGAAACCGCATCTTCTTGATTTGGTGTCTTCTGCCCACTAGCTAAAGCTATATTCACGTTCGAGATGCTGGTAGGGGCAGGGTTTGGTAGAAGACGTTCGGTAACATCGCAATCGTTAAGCTGGGCCTCTGTAGAAGATGATATCTCGATCACTTGCGGCACGCCAATTGGATAAGGTATTTTCTGTAGTAAAGTTGATCGAGTTTATTTCATATGAAAATGTATATGTAGGTATAAAAACAAAAAAACTCCACATTATAAAATTCAATCGAATTCTACGAGAAATTAATAACTATCAGACGGTTAAAAAGGGTCACTTTGGTTTAGGGCTGATGATGCCCGGGTGCCCGGGTACCCGATTAATTTGGTGTCACCCGGGGCTTTTATAACCCGGATAGCAGGGTATATTTGCTCACCGGAAGCTCCTGGCATCAAGCCTTTAACCATTCATACTAAAATATCGATACTTAGACATAAGAAGAAGAGATAATTAGGGATAAAAGAGAGAACCGTTTTGAAATAAGACAAGTTTTACTTTTCCCTATAAAATTTTGGCAACCTCGCATACGAGGTTTTGCATTTTATTGATACGCGGTTTTGTACTTTAAACGACGATATGTATGTCGGTGCCGGTTAAACGAAAAACACCCGGGTAATACGACATAAAGCTTCTTATTTAAACTTTTTCGTACATATGGATGTACATACATATGTATATGTATTTTAAAGAATATTAAATACTAATATTTTCAAAGCAATATTAAGTACTGCCAGACACTTCTAGCCGGCAGTAACTTCTGCCAGACGCTCCAAAATATGCAAAAAGTTAGAAAATTACATACTTTATACATACTTACATATGTACATTTGTATGTACATGTACGTACTATATTTTGTGACTCAAACTTAGCGGGGTTACTCATACGCTCTATCCAACAACTTAAGCACAGCTGTGCACATACACATCAAGGGTGTTCGGGGCATGCTTGACCCACCGGATGGGTCTGCCTGTTTACGCAATGTTTGCAAGTATTAATGATAACAATAATTTGGTAAAGCACTCACCATGACCAAAAGTACCGTAGTAGCTTTCATTATTAAGTCCATGATTTTTAAAGCCAACTGCATTTTTTAAAGAAAATTTGCGTTCAATTTTATACAGCGAACCAATTTTTTTATTTGTACAAAACGATATTTTCATTTCCCAATACCAGGCGTTCAAAAAATCGACGACTCTTAACCATACCATGCGAAGTCTGACTAAGCCTAAGGTGACTGAGCATGGTATGGTTTGGAAGCGTCGATATGAAGTAGCAAGTTTTCTACACGCATACACACACAAGTTTGTTTTTAGAACTTTTTAATTCGTTTGTAGAAGCCTTTGAAACTCACAAAGTAAAATTTTGGATATTTGAAAGCAAGGCGAATTAATATAAGGTGATAGCAGGAGTACAAAAACAAAAATTTACATGTATTTTGTTTTTGCTTTGGCGGCATAAACTGTCAAAATCTGTAAGAGTGTGTGTAGAAATTCAAACAAAATTTTTCAATTTGATATCAGTAGCCCGTTTCTGTAACTTTTCTCTACCGATTATTTCTCTACTGGTAGAGAAAATACGTCATTCTCACCTACTAATTAGCAGTAGGGAACAGGGCGGCGAATTCATATCTCAATTCGCCTTGGTAGAGAATTGTTACAGAAACGAGCTACAGAAGCCGTGCGGCGAAACACATACACAAAATCAGCTGAGCTAGTAACACCACCTTATATAAATTCGCCTTGTTTGAAAGTGTATACAAACAATTTTGCGCATTGAAATGGAAAACTTATTACACATGTATGAGCGCCTGGCATTGGGAAATGAAAATGTCGTTTTGGATCAAATAAAAACTGGTTATAAAGTGTGGTCACGGGGATAATACTTATATAAACGTAAAATTATTGCTACTACTCTAAGATGCGGTCATATTTTCACCATATGGCATGGAAAATTCTTATAGATTTTCCCATGATAAAAATATAGTAAGGTAGAACCGCTGGAAGAAACTTTTAAAATTCTTGACGACGCCAAGCAATTTAATTTTTAAATTTACTCACAATCTCACACACACATTTCCATTTTCAATATCAACCCTATAAACATTTTGGCGAACGTTCGAAAGTACTTTCGATATCCAATATGTATATCGAACTGATAACCAACCTTTGTTTTCCAATGTTCAAGGGAAGCTGATAGCTCAAGACATTTTAAACACTTATTCAAAATGATTTATTTTGGAACGAATTTCCGTCATCCCTTGTCAAGTTTGGTTTGCAGACGGAAATTCGTTCCAAAATAAATCATCTTACCACCCTGTCGGAAAAATCAACCGACACCAACACTTATTCAAAACTTATAAAGGCAAATTCGAAAAGGTCAAAACAAAAAGAGAGTCATTGCCTGACTTGTTCTATGGAAGCTGGGCCCTACATACATATGTATGTATATGTATGTGAACCTAGCTTATCGGCAATTAACATGTACGATGTTTTAATCGGAAATGTCTTTGAAATCGAACACTGCTAGTGCAACACTAGATATAGTACATACCTTTGGGGGTACGATGAGATATGTTTCGATTTTATGGTCCGCCAAATAACTGTCCCGACTAGCGCCATTTCCCTCTTCAACCACGAATTTGTCACCAAGGAATTGTAGCGTTTGCTTAGTGATGTGAACTCGGCTGTAACCAAAAAATTACGTCAAAACCAACAATACTTGATAACTGTATATAAATGTTTCCAGACCAAGTAACGTGCATATCGCATTATTTAAGTATGCGTAAAGAGCAATCACAATCAGTAAAATGTTGCTCATACGCTTCGGTGGCCTCTAAGCTATAATAACACATTCACAAATTACTTGCATACATACATATGTATGTACATGATGCACAGCTCAATAGCTCAAACTGACACGTACTTCAAAAGTGTATTAATTCAAAATTATTGCTTCACATTTACTTTTCAGCAAAAGCTTGACAAACACCGGTAATACTGGCCGTCAAAAAACAGTTGTATCTTCCAGTTCGGAGATTTAGGGTAATGAATGTGTTATAATGCATACATACATACATATATAGAAATTTTCTTTTTCTACCCAGCCAGCAGGAAAACGTACATTTTACGAACATTATATCGAGCCCTAACTGCCAGAAAAACGTCAGCGACATTTTTTTCCAATTTTTTTTTTTGATGCAGAATTGCATCTGGATGGTGTACGGGCATTTCTGCATGAAAAAGGACATTCTTGAAAAATATGTCGCTTACGTTTTTTTCGGCGCTTAGGGCTCGATATTTTACGAGGGAATCTCGGCAAAAAGTTCGAGAAAAGCTCATAAACGATAAAACAAAAAATTTAATAGAAAGAGGTTTGTAGTAATTTGTCAGCACAAGAAAAAGTTTTCATTTCGTAGGAAAATTTACATATGTAATGCGCATACGACTGCTTTTCCGATCCGTTTACAACTGTTCGTAGGCGATCCGCAATTTCAAACGAAAAAGTACTCGAAAACGAATCGTAAGCGGCTATCACAAGCGACTTTTTATCCGGGTTTTCTTCAAGAAAAATCCAGTTACGAGCTCGTTTACGATGATTTTGCTGGCTGGGCAATTTAAGAGGAAAATATCTACATATATACATAAATACATACATTTTTAGTGCACATGTTTGTATGTATGGTTGTACATATGTATGTAAGCATGAATGCATATTATAAGATTTGGCCATTTGAGTTGTACATATGTATTTCGAATAATGAATTGCCAATGTTTTTTTTTGCGACGATTTTGAAAGTGGTCATTAGTTAACAAATACATTAGAAAACGAGCTTACAGGACTTTATATGTATTTACATACATACATACATAAGTATAAGTACATAAGTATGCATGTATGTACATATGAATAAGCTATAACAGTATTGCGTGTTCCGTATAGTCGTCTATGATTTAACTTACCCTGCTACACCACCACTTTCCATATGATTCGCCAACGTAACATCATCACTCCAAACATCAAATTGCCACTTACGTAAGCCAAGGACACCGCAAAGGACATTACCAGTATGAATGCCTATACGCATGTCAACATTAATTCCGGTTGCCTCGCGCACATGTCTGCAGGGGTAATAAAAGTGGTTAATAAATGAAGGTCGCACTGGGGCAATATATGAAATATATTTATATATATGTATGTATGCACATGTTTACTTTTGGTTATGAATTAAATCTGTTGTACATCAAAAACAACAGCACTCAAACCTAGCCAGCGCGCGAAACAGAAATTATCTGTACATATGTATATATATGTATATACATATATATGTACAGATGCATGTACATATGTAAGTACATAACGGACTATAGTTGAGCGGAAGTGTACACTTATCCGAAATTGGGTGTTGTTATTTCCTTGCCAAAGGGATTTCTGTTTGATACCAGCAATTAAATATTATTAGCAGACCCGGCGAACTTCGTCCCGCCTAAATAAATTTTTTTATTGAAAAATTGTGGTCCAAGATTTTCACCAACAATTCACTGTCACGATTTATATGCTAATATTATGGTTTGGTGGTCGGAAGGCATACTTCCCAGGCAGTTTTGAATAACCCAACGAAAGTGTAATGCCCGTTTGCGTTTCACATCGCGATTAATCGTACAGCGAAATAAATTTGAATAATTTTTTCCTCTTCACTCCCTGGCGGCAATGATGATCCGGTTCGATGGTGAATAATCTCATCGTGGCAATTTCAAAATGTTTTACAGAAATCCAATATTTATACATAGACTTATTTCAGACGAAATATCTTAAATGCCTTATCAAGGAGCGCAATAGTTCTGGTGGTTGATTTAACGGAGGTCAATTGAGATTGACTCCTGGGCAACCCAATCCTGGTGTCTCCGAATGAAGCTTTAACGCCGAGTAATATTGGAAAATCATATCCATTGGGACAGTCGGAAAACACAGCAGTTCGACAAATTCAGTGGTGCAGCCGGTCGATGTAATGGGACATTCACGACACTTTCTCTCACTGGACGTTTTTCAGTAATAACTCGACCCCAGCGCCACCTGGCGGCTCATTTTTGTGAAAGTATTGCCCTTACCATTACCAATACATATCCCGAATATGAGCCAAATCGCATCATAAATACGAATTTTTAGTAATAACTCGACTCCACTTGCGGGTACATTTTTTCATGGCAATATTTTCCTTTACGACATCAATACATGTTTCGAATATAAACGAAATCGGATCATGCATCAAATTTTTTGTAATAACTCGACTTCAGCTCCACCTGGCGGGTTTTTTTCTTTCATTTTTCAACATAAATAAATAAACAACCAGAGCTTTTTTAAAAAACCATCACGGATAGATCGACGCGAAATTTAATTATCTTTTATTAAAAAAGAAAAAGATACTTGAAATCGGTTCATATTTCGGCTCTCAAAACTCATTTGTCCACAGCAACCTTTTTCGCAGTTCGTTTTATGCAACTTAGTTTTATATATAGAGGTATAGACATACATTTTCAAATAGCTGGCAACCCTCTTCAAAATTATTACTTCTGGTTAAGAGTGCATTTTGGCTTTATCTTCTTCCTTGCAACATAGATATTTAAATTTGGTCACAAAATCAATAGTTTTTATATGAAAAGTTATTGTACATATCGCCCGACTTTAATGTTTTTAGTCAGGGGGTTTCCTCTTGAGCAAAAATAATAACTTGAAGAATATTTTAAATACAATTGCAAAATTTTAATTGAGACTATAATAAAATTTTAATTTGCTTTTTTATTATGACATAGCTTGATAGTTTGCTGGTTGATAAGCAAAGAGGAAATTGCAATAAAAGATTACGACGTTCTTCCAGCAAACGAGCGATATAAGTATTCGTATAAATAAACTTGCTTATAGGTACATACATATGGGACCATAAAACCAAAATAGCTTAATGGCTTACCAAAAATTTTAAGCTTTATAAGACAATACGTTCAACGATTAAACGAGAAAACTAGATGCGGTTCACTATGGTTATATATGTTACCGGCCAAACCCGACCTTAGAACAAACTAGTTTTGCCTAGGCTAAACTAGATCAGGGGCCACAGTATTTTTGCGCAGAGCTCCTTTCCGCGTAGTCGGCCTTTGGCCGCACTTCAAAAGAATAACCCTCATCAGTCCAATTCCAGGTACGCAGTCCACAAAATTGTTGCGTCCAACTTGTTTCCGCATTGGACGGATGTATTGGATCTAGGTAGAACTAGTTTAGCTAGGAAAAACTAGTTTGTCTTAAGATCGGGTTTGGCCGGTAACATATACATATAACAACTATTTCTATATTTGTAATTATGATTTTTAAGCAGCTTCTCTATTTCGTTAAAATTGCAGATAGGCTACAATGTGGCAAAAAAATCATTTTGCCAAAGTAAGCCTATGCTGGAAAGCCACGAGAGCACACAACAAGCAGTTTGAACACAATTTTCAATCGCTTGCACACCAGTCTAAATTGTGCGCTGTAGGTAGTGGTCTGAAACTATCGATAGTCGACACTGTCGATAGTATGCGAAAGTTCTTTAGAAACCATCGATAACTATCGATAGTTTGATAGTCTTCTAAACTTACAATTTGGCTTTATATTGCAATATATATTGAAATATTTCTTACAAAATCAGTAAATCGCTTGCTTACAGTCAAAAGTTGCTAAGTCCATTTTTAGAAATTTTATAGGAGAGGAAGAAACTTCTCATAGCAATTTTCTTCAAGAATTTTGCGAAATTTTTTATAAAATATTTTAAGTGTTTAAAACAAAGCAAAACTTCATACGAATCAGAAGCACTTGTTGCTAATTAAAAAAATTCGAATTTTTTTATTCTATTCAATGACAGATATTTTATCATTCAACATCAGATATTAACCTTCTTTAGTTCTTATCACGAATCTATTTTTTTTTTTTCACTTATCAAAGCACCCGCTGAAAATGCTGGTAAAAAATATTTTTTTTTAATGAAAGGTGCTGCCAGGTTGTCTCAAATGCAGATGCAAATTGACAATAAGCAATAAAACAATAATGTTAGAAAAACAAAAACTATCAAAAACTATCGATAGTATTGAAAACTATCGATGGTGGTACGATAGTAAAATACCATCGATAATATCCATAGTGCCATCGATAGTTTTAGACGACTAGCTGTAGGTATGGGTTTTAAATTTTAATATCGGTGCGAATGAATTTTGATGTGAAAACATTCACACACAACCATCAGAGAAGAGGTACACAAGCACACATTCGTCGTTTAAAGTACAAAACCGCGTAACTGGCATTTGTTGTCAAAAATTGGATTTGCTCACACAAGCTCTTGGCTCATCCTTCTCCATTCGTCCTGAAATATACTAGCCAAAAATGCGACTGCTTTATAGAAAAGAGAACACTTTTGAAATGTGAGTATTTTTACTATCTAGAAATTAATTTATGCAACCTCACATACTCGGTTTTGCATTATCTTGATACGCGGTTTTGTACTTTAAACGACGATATGTATGTACATACATGCACACATACACTAACCTTATGGCATCAATCATCTGTAGGCCCATGTTTACACAATTGGCAGCGTGTTGCGGCCTTGATATGGGCAGTCCGGACACACAGTAGTAGCAGTCACCAAGAATTTTAATGCGCAAGCACTGGTTTTCCTGTGAATAAACAAAGTAATGCCGCATAAAAGGATGTTATCAGCTCTGGCGCACCCAATGACAAAAAAGTTCCCATTTCAATTTCCAAACATCTACATAGATAAATGTGTACATTAGGGTGGTCCTTAAATGAAGGAAGCCAATTTTTACATCAGATTTCCTAAGCCTCAATCCCTACGTCGATGCTACTATGCATAGTCGAAGATATCACATATACACGCTTAATTCGTAATTCGTAGCTACGTTACGAAAAAAACAAAAATTGAGAGGGCGGAAGCCCTTCTTCTAATAAGAAAGGTATACAACATTTCTTGTGCACATAACTCCGGCTACGCCATCCACTGTATCTTTGCGCAGAACCCACATCGAAATTTACAAGAAAAGTGCATGGTTCAAACCGAATTTATTAATATGATAGTGCTCGGAAATTTAAAAAAAATCGGAAAAATTTTAAATTAAAGTTTAATCTTTTGACTACACGAGTATGTTAAAGTTTTTAGATTCGGGTGATGCGTTTGGATACAACAACCCAAAATCATTGCACAAATAACTAAACCGTACCCAAGTTTCTCGATAAGGGCAATTTTATCTGTCTAAAAGAACACCACTAATATTTTCTGCAAACACATCGATTTACATCTTTTTGCTTAAGAAGTGTTTTTGTACAAAATTACGCAAATTTCAATTTCTTACTCGTTCGTTTTTAGGCATACCATTGTTACGAATTTTTTAAGTTCGAAGATACGATAAGGATTGCAGCATACCATTTCTACATTGCAGAATAGGGGTGATACACCCCTATGCTGTAATCCGAAAGTACGTAGTTACGAATTCGTAGCTCCGTTCCGAAAATTCGAAAATTGGTGTGGTGTAATCCGATCGTAACTATCAACGGCGTTGCCAACTAAAATAGTGAAATTCGAAGTTCTTAATCAGCTGCTTTGACAGAAACAAATCAAAATAAATATAATCGCAATTTTTTAAGGACCACCCTAATGTACGTATACATATACTGAATTAAAGGTATGTACATGAACTCATGAGACCATAACAACCAGACTACTCTTTAAAAACATTTTTAAACATTAAGACAAAATAATTAATGCTTTGCATAAATAGAAGTAGTTTGGTATTTTAAAGGGATTTTATTTTTATCTGAATAGGGCTACAGCCGTTTCACAAAGAATGAAAAAAAAAATCGTTATTATTTAACTTGGAAATTAATTCTTCTTTGGTTCGAAACGATCGATTGAATATCAGTAAAACAAGTCTGTTTTTTTTTTAATATTTCCTTACTCGGTTTCGTGTTAACTTACTTACCCCTGCAATCTGATCAAAACGTCCGAAGAGGTCGTTCAGCGTCTTCACCAAATCACTAGCAGAAAGTTGCTCAGAAAGTGGGGTGAAATTCACAATGTCCGCATACAAAATTGACACATTGTTATGGCGCTGCACGTGCAATTCGTGAAAACGTGTAGCAGATGTAGTAGTCTGACCACCAGCGCGTTGGCATGCATCAGCCATCTTCAGCATAATACTACGCTTCACCTGGACTTGCGTCGAGAGATAAAAGTAAAGTAAAAAATAATGAAAATACGCATTATTTCAACCGCAAGTTAATATGTATTCAAAAATCATGCCGATATAAAAATTTCAATTATTGCGTCGCTATGGATTTTACTCACTGACCTCTGCCGCTATGTAAGCGGGAATGACGCTTAACAAAAGCTGCTCTTGTTGCTCTCGTTCACACTCTAGCTTGACGCGTTGCTCGATTCCTGTACGTGTACCGTCCACAGTGCGGTTGTGTGCTGCATCTGACATAATGCGATAGTAAAGACCAGAAACAGATGCGGAGGCCAACATGATAATTTCCCCGAAGAGCTGCAACGAAAGGGGTAAGTGAAGTGAAGTGCAAACTAACTATCTTAAAGTGTTGGTTGCATACAGTAATGGCGAAACAAATTGAAAAATGGTCAAACATCAGTTTATATAGTTGTGTGTGTGCCATGAGAAGAAAAATGCATTCGACGTTCAATATTATTTCACACCGAAGCCAGCCACGTTTTTTGTTCGAGTAAGCATGCATGTTTTCTAGTCGTCACCTTAGTAGGTATGCAACTTGTCATAACAATGCGAGGAGTTTTACTTTGCCAGCTGGTAGTTCGCTTGGTAGATACGAGTACATGGTTGAAAAGGTATTGTGCGACAACTGTGAAACATACTAGGGGTATTCTCGAAGTTTTGCACGATGCACGGATTGCACGAAATGCAAAAATACTATTCCAAATTTCGAAGAGTACGAGAGCAACCCATTGCAAAGAGGAAGCGTGCATGGCTAGCAAGCAGCGAAATTATGTATCAAATACAATAACAAAAGACAGCAAAAAAAATGAAGTGAGCGAGATGAGAGGAATGAGAGAAATATGTAGCAATTCCGACAACAAAACAACTAGCACAGGGTTGCATTTATCTTGCTATGCTATTTTGCAAAATATATACATGGGTTTCGACCTTGCATATTTTGCAGCGATAGGAAATGTTGTTTCCCATGTATTTTGTTGTTGTGTGTTTGCAAGTTATGCAATCCATGCAATCCATCAATCCGTGCTACGTGCAATGGCTTTGCAAGATTTGGAGAATACCCCTACTTTGTAATCATTGCATCTTCCCTTTGCGCACTATATTGCATTATTATGCCACTATGCCAACTAGAGTAGAACGGCACTCGTAAATCAATTGATTGCAATCCAACAACACCGAAATGACTTTTTGTTGTTTGTATTAGCATTGGCTATTGTCAGAGCAATTACTATTTACCACAGTTTACTTTACAGCTACACAGGCCGGATTCAAAGTGTTAATAGGCAAAGTTACAGGCGATCCTCAACAGTAAAAGACTTGCAGTGGAAATATAAAACACTAAGTATTGGAGCACATCACAAAACTAAAAAAAAATGAGAAGGACTTTTTGGAGCAAACCGTGGACTAGTACGTGCAAAACTTAGCTCGTCGTATGATGGATTTAGAACATTTATTATAGGCCACATCCGAACATACATATATGTATGTATACATACGTATGTATATAAAACCGATATTTCATTAAAATACAAATTATTAGGACTGTTCAGGATCTTGCGCATATGCTCTTGTTGGATTTGCATATTCGTTGCATTTGTAAATTCACAACAATAAAATGCACACGGTTGCCATGGCAGCAAGCATAAAATTTACAAATGCAATTCCAACTGCAAATCCAAGACCATTTCCACAACATCCTGAACAGCCCTATTGTTTCGTATTACTTACCAACGGCAAACTGGGTGTATATTCCTCGCTGGTCGCAATGCGGTAGATAATGTGAACAGTCGTCATGAAAAAAGCTAATACCACGGAAACTGGCCAGGATATCGGCAACATCGTATGTATACCCTACAAATATAACTCATTTCCGTAATAAATAAATACGATACAGTGTTAAATATACAAATCCCAGTAAAATAATTATATGTGCAATACGTTTTTCCTCATTTTAGCTCTATTAAAGAAGAGTAAAACTTTTTGCTGAATGCGATTATAATAGCCTTTAGTTTATAAGTATTTTCATATGTTAAATTGATGTTACTTTAGAATTTTAATCACCATCATCACAAACAATAGCTAATATTCAATAGTAAATAATTATATGTGCAAAATTAAGTATTCAGTTCCTGCTGCTCCAGTGTCAAAAATTTTCAACAGAAAACTACATCAATGATTGTGTGGTAAAAACTTAAGCATATATAAGCTATTTTCATAATAAAACCGTTTGATTATTTTCCATAGTTATATTATGGCCCATAATGTCCAGTGACATCGAACTATCTGAAGAACAGCCCGGACATATAACAGGAATGAAGTTTTGTGGCATGAAATCTAGCTAAATAACTGCTGAAGTAATCGGGCAGCAGAATATACTTAATAAGAAGTTCGTTTAAAAATCCCGACCACTATAGAAATAGCTTGCTGGCCCTACATAAGCCCCAAAAGAGTGGTGCTAATGACATATCCAATAGTTAACTACTAGCAACAGCATGATTTACCGTAAAAATTTAAATGTATTTGAATCTCTCTGTCACAAGTGAAAGTTCACAATAAATGATAAACACAGTTTTGGTACTTAAGTGGAAGAAATAGATCGCATGAGAATGCGTTTTTAGCATTTTACAAAAATTACAAATTTTGTAGGAAGAATTGAAAAACGCTATTTTGAATGATGAGAGAAACTCCAATATAACGGGTGATTTTTTAAGAGCTTGATAACTTTTTTTTTAAAAAAAACGCATAAAATCTCATCGGTTCTTTATTTGAAACGTTAGATTGGTCCATGACATTTACTTTTTGAAGATAATTTCATTTAAATGTTGACCGCGGCTGCGTCTTAGGTGGTCCATTCGGAAAGTCCAATTTTGGGCAACTTTTTCGAGCATTTCGGCCGGAATAGCCCGAATTTCTTCGGAAATGTTGTCTTCCAAAGCTGGAATAGTTGCTGGCTTATTTCTGTAGACTTTAGACTTGACGTAGCCCCACAAAAAATAGTCTAAAGGCGTCAAATCGCATGATCTTGGTGGCCAACTTACCGGTCCATTTCTTGAGATGAATTGTTCTCCGAAGTTTTCCCTCAAAATGGCCATAGAATCGCGAGCTGTGTGGCATGTAGCGCCATCTTGTTGAAACCACATGTCAACCAAGTTCAGTTCTTCCATTTTTGGCAACAAAAAGTTTGTTAGCATCGAACGATAGCGATCGCCATTCACCGTAACGTTGCGTCCAACAGCATCTTTGAAAAAATACGGTCCAATGATTCCACCAGCGTACAAACCACACCAAACAGTGCATTTTTCGGGATGCATGGGCAGTTCTTGAACGGCTTCTGGTTGCTCTTCACTCCAAATGCGGCAATTTTGCTTATTTACGAAGCCATTCAACCAGAAATGAGCCTCATCGCTGAACAAAATTTGTCGATAAAAAAGCGGATTTTCTGCCAACTTTTCTAGGGCCCATTCACTGAAAATTCGACGTTGTGGCAGATCGTTCGGCTTCAGTTCTTGCACGAGCTGTATTTTATACGGTTTTACACCAAGATCTTTGCGTAAAATCTTCCATGTGGTCGAATAACACAAACCCAATTGCTGCGAACGGCGACGAATCGACATTTCACGGTCTTCAGCAACACTCTCAGAAACAGACGCAATATTCTCTTCTGTACGCACTGTACGCATTCGTGTGGTTGGTTTAATGTCCAATAAAGTAAACTGAGTGCGAAACTTGGTCACAATCGCATTAATTGTTTGCTCACTTGGTCGATTATGTAGACCATAAATCGGACGTAAAGCGCGAAACACATTTCGAACCGAACACTGATTTTGGTAATAAAATTCAATGATTTGCAAGCGTTGCTCGTTAGTAAGTCTATTCATGATGAAATTTCAAAGCATACTGAGCATCTATCTCTTTGACACCATGTCTGAAATCCCACGTGATCTGTCAAATACTAATGCATGAAAATCCTAACCTCAAAAAAATCACCCGTTAGTTGATCCAGATGCCCACCACAACTTGGAGAGTCATTCGGCTTCCATGGCAAACCTGTCCTTGGCGAAAGGGATTTAAGTAAAAAGCATATAGCTTTGGAAAACAAATAAAACCTTTTCACTATGGGAAAAATGAATATGAAGAAGTAGAAACATTCCGTGCGCATTAAGTTGGCAAATTTTTCGCTCATTTCGACAGAAAATATTTGGAAATTCCAGCGGTAAAACGTTGTTATTCACACCGTGCGAACAACAAAATCGTTATTCAAGGAACAAAATGGGGATTTGTAAGATCTACTTCCCAACAAGATTTCTACTTATTCAAAACAGAATGATAACGTGTTGAAACTTAAATAAACCAAACTTCACAAATAGGAGGAAATAATACAAATTTTACTATAAAAAATTTCGGTAAAGTATATGCCGCAAAGCGTAAAACAAATGAAATTGTGCAATAGAAGTACAATCCAAAACCAACAAATAAAATTATCTTTAAAACAAATTTTTTAGAAATAGTCGGTAACCAAACACTTGTTTCTTTGCACATATAAATATTTTCTACGAAAATTTCAACATAATGGTAAAATTAAATTATTTTGTTATATACTAATGCATATTCATAAAGTTTTTTCTATTCTTTTGATAGAGTAAATGAATACAATTATTGGAAAAAAGCATGAAAGATCTAGTATTGGTTTTTACTTTAACTAGTTGAAGTTGAAGTATTGCACATATAATTTTTTTACTGGCGTATGTATGTAAGTGTGTAGTTAAAAGAAAATATAAGTAATAACTATATAGTAAACTAATAAATTTAGGTTTCTTCGTATGGTGCGTATTATTTTTTAAACACAGGTCTATAGTACATATTAAAGAACTGAAATACTTCCGCCATGAAACTTAAATAAAAAACCGTCGATACGCTTAATACAAAGCTATATATGTACATATGTAGGCGAAGAAAATGCTGGTGGCTACAAGCATCATTCCAACTTAGTAAACATCAAAGTCTGTGAAGATAGCAGTTGTGACAGCAATTACATCCGACGGCCTACTCATATACATACATATCGTCAAATGAAATGCAAAAAGACGTAACAAACATCGTCGCTGAAATACAAAAGTTCGTAACTAATAAAAAAAATTCAGTTTTTGATTGATATGTTGCATTTCATCGAATTACAACTCTCACATCATTTTATGAAAAAAAAAATAAAAATATTAGTCAGGACTTTTTTCATTTCAATTACGTTGTTGTTACCAGGGCTACCAACTGGGCTCAAACCGTGCCATTTTTGGCCCTATTTTACTTCAAATGGCACTTAATTTTTTAATTTGGCACAAAGTGCCAATATGGCACTCTTGAAAAATAGAAATATTTCAATACACTTTTGTGAAACACTTTTTTGTGTGTACTTCTTTTTCTCAACTAAAATTTTATAGTTCCTATAGTGTATAAAACTGGTTTATCTTACTTTGGCATTGGTTTTAGGAATGTGATTCTAATTTTAATTCTAAATGGAAAGAATAAAAAAAAATGGCACTTCTAGTTTTCTATTTGGCACTTTTTTATCCTCAATATGGCACTTCATAACTAAGTATAGTTGCTTGTTACGTCTTTTTGCATTTCAGGTGACGATATATGTATATGTATGTACCAGGGATGTTTCGGATGTCATATTTTCACATTTGCGAATGCGAATTTTCGGAATGCGAATGCGAATGATGGGAATAACATTAAAAACGCTATAAAAACTAAAAACTTAGTCGTCGTTACTTAAAAATTTTGTAAGTTATTAAGACATTGAACGAGTGCTTCACCTATACAGTGTTTTAATGTAGTAGTCAAAGTTCAAAGGGGGCATATTATATTTCAAAAAAGTATTTTTTCTGCCTTTTCCCCCATGAGGCGATTTCTATTTCTCACTTGGAACGCTGGCGGGTGGAGCGCTCAAATTTTTGCGGGTCAGATCTGTCAATTTGTCGTATTTTAGTTTAGTTTTCCACCAATCGAGAGGATTTTCACCGAGATGAGCTCGTTTTTCTTTAAGACAATTCTTCTATTGAGGTTTAATTCCACGTTTTTTAATGTCTCCAGATTCTACATCCGAGCGTTCGCTTTCACTGGAGGAATCTAAAATTATTTCTAGATTGCTTATAAGACTTTTAGCAGTATCTACTTCTTGAAGGCCCATCAATATTGCTAGATATACTACGTAACCGTTTAGCGTTTGAAGCAAAAAGTCGATTATTGTCCGCACCCTGCTTAGACAGATGTAGAGCCATTTCAACAATATTAGAGTGGACTCTTTGCCCATGTACACATTCGCATTCGCAAAACATTCGTATCATTTGATGCGAATGCGAATGTCAAATGCGAATGTGTAAAATGATGCGAATCATTCGCATAACGAATGCGCTGCACAACTGCTACATAACGAATGCGAACTGCACAACTGCTACATAACGAATGCGAATGCAAATATTCGCAACATCCCTGGTACATACATATGTACATATGTACTGCACAACTGCTACATAACGAATGCGAATGCTAATATTCGCAACATCCCTGATACATATGTATGTATGTAGTATGTACAGAGGCATTCACGCATGCTGCGTTCCTAATCTAACTCGTACTGAAATCACGTATACGCTCTGTTGAACTGCACAACTGCTACATACAGTACAGAATGCATTGCCTACAGAGCAGCGAAATTAAATTCCTATCTAGTCTCTATATGTAATACTTACTAAGAAAACGGCAAATAACGGTAATGGCGCCAATTTTTCACCCGTAATTGCTGCTATCGTCCCCAGCGAGAAAGTGGTTACAATGGCAAACGCCAACGCGGCTACTGGCGAGCTAAGGACCGCCGGGAATTGCAGTGCTGTCAATATACCCGCAGATATGATGGCAGCTAGCGCCAAGAGGCACGTTTGAAGCAAACCCTAAAAAAAAGCTATAAATGAGCATAGTGATTGCGAAATAATGTATGTAATTGTTAAACCAGCGACACATTGTGTCTGTCTACAAGTACTATACATACTTACATATTTATGTATGTACATAAAACATGCTGCGTAGATACATACATATCGTTGCCTTAATAGAGAAAGGTCATATCTAAAATATGTGTGTCTTTACAGAGTATTTACAAAACTTTATAAAAACTAAAGTTTTTAAGTTGGGAATTCCTTCAAAATCCCGGATTTTAATAAATGCCGAAACTAATTTATTGACGTAGTACTTGTTTTCAAATTCTATAAGGTCTTTCATGGGTAATCTACCGACCTTTGTACAAAGCTGAATTTCCCAAAAAATGAGTTAGGGTATTTCTGTATTAAGGTAACGATATATATATATGTATGTACCTACATCCATTAGGGTGTCCCATAATATAAGGGAAATTTTGTTTTTGCAAATATGATACTCTCCATAGGCCGAAATGTATAATAATGATATGTTATATTTCTACAGCGATAACATAGTTGATGGCGAAGAGAGACACGATGTTCGAGGTTTACCGTATGAGCGTTGGCGTCATTTTAATTATCTTATCTTTTTTTAAATTTCATGAAAATTTGTTTGAATATTCGCTCACTACGCCCCACGCGCGCCTACTTTTATCGCGTGTCTTTCTACGCCTTCAACTACCCACCTAAGTTCGCCGAAGTTTCTTTCTTGCGTCTTTTTTCGCATACGTATCTACGCTTGTATGCGAGACTAAGCGTCGAATTGCATGTGCCCTTATGAAATATGTAGTTAGTTGTCGATAAAATTAAAATAAGCTGTTTATAATAGGCATTGGCCCATGCGCGTATCTTTTGCAGCTTAAGCATTTTCTTATGTATATACGCGTAAAATAAATAAAATAGAAATATATGCGTTAAAAGCTAGGCCATTGATATTTTGGGACACTCTACTTAGTGTAATAGGTAATAGGAATAATCAACACTACGGCATGCGTGTGAAACTTACTTGTTCGTAAATGACACCAACGATTATGGAGACCACACATGCAACTAGTGATATCAGTAGGCCGGATCTAAAAAGCGACTTGCGTAGGCGTTGGCGATATCGTGTGTACAAATCGTCCAAATGAATATTTTCAGCTGTAATGGAACAATTTAAAAAGGAATAACATGTTAGCTAAAAACATATGTATGTATGTATGTATGTATGTACATATGTATATACAAGTGTGAATATAAGAGATTTGCATTAAATTTTGTTTTCGAAATACAACTCCGCCATTTCCCATCGAATTTTTAACCGACTTCCAAAATAGGAGGAGGTTATCAGTTCGACGGAATATTTTTTTAAATATTTATTATATTAATATTAATATTTTTTATTTTTTTTTATGTATGTTACCGCATAACTTTGGACCACGTCAACCGATTTCGTTAATTCTTTTTGCATCGGAAAGGTAGTGTTCTCAGAGGTGGTCCCATACTAATCTGGTTTAGATCCGATCATTGGATCATGTCAGTTTTTTTGCTAAAAATTACTTGGCATTTTTTAATTATCAATACAAGGGTATTTTTCCTCCTCTGTTAGCTTTTTTAAAATACCAATTTATACAAACGCCGAAATCTTCAGACAAAATTTTTCACAACAAAATTTTTTACTTCAACGCGTTCCACAGCTCACGAATGGGATCGAAAAGAGTCGAAGTATTTTGATGGGGCTACAAGCAATGCCAAATGTCCTGGTTCAAATGGGAATTGTTTTCTAATATAGATACATACATGCAAACATATTTATATACATTGGTACATATATAAAGCCGCTAACATAACTGGTGGGGTGATTGACTCGGTTTTTCCAAACCAGTTACAGCCGGTTATCTTGAATATATTTAGGCGGTTTTTTTTTAATATTGATTTTACGAATACCGAATAAACCGAATTTTTGCAATTGAATACACCAGGTTTTCATCTAGTTAATTTATATACCAGAATCTAAACATTCTTAACTCTTTATTTAATTAAAAATAAATCTAGAACATTCTTATTAATTATATATCAATACTGGAGAACTTCCCACGGCATACAATTACTTAAAATAAAAAAAAAAGATTTTCTATGTATGAACGAAATCGGATCATAAGTACGGGTTTCCAAATATCTCGACTCCTGCGCCACCTAGCAGATTTATGAGCTATGTGTGAATTTTCAAGACTCTAGCTCATCGGGAAGTTGGTGAAATATTGATTCCGGGACATACTACATACATACATACAAGTGAAGATGAAGATGAAGATGAAAATGTAGAAGATGAAGATGAAGATGAAAATGAAGAAGAAGATGAATGATAAAGATGAAGATAAAGATAAGTAGACTGTTATGATCGGCCTGTAATTCTCGCAGAAGATTTTAACGTCAACTTTTCGCTGGCCAAATCTGATGAACTGACAGAATTTTTAAAGAAAAATTTTCACTGAAAATCGTTAATGGTAGAAATGATCCAACAACCAAAGGTGCGGCCACCAATGATGCGGTCTTTTCCAGAAATATTAATAATATTGAAATAAAACATTTAATATCTTACTTTAATTACCAAAATCGACTAGTTAATATTGTAGATATCTTAGGCACAAATAATAATTAAACTTTGCAGTTGGTTATACAAAATATGTTTTTTGTATATTAGAAAATAAGTACATGCGTATGTATATCACAAATTTCTTTCTTTCTGGCATTTCCTCCATTAAGTTTCACTTCTTCCGCGCGTAGGGACTACACGCACTGAGTTGTTTTTTTTATTTGCTTATTAAAAGTGTAAGCGCCAAAATATTATTATTGGTTTTTAAATGACTACAATGTTTTTAAGACTTTTGAGAATAAGTCCTTGATTTCCTATTAAGTTTTTAATCGCTCCGACCTTGGGGAAGAGGGAGACGAATTGGGTTTAAGTACAAATTAATCATTTCATTTCATATCTATTTTCGTTTGCGGGAGTCAGTGTTTCTGCTCAATTAATGCCGTAGGAGCAAGGGAAATAATCAGAAAATACTTTAGAACAAAGAAGCAAATATCAATTTTAGTATATTCGCACCGAACCAATTAGAGTTTTGCTATCAGAAAATATTTCATGTAAAGGATTTTTTTTTTAATTTTGACTTTTTGCATTCAAACTACATAATATATAATACTTAATACAATTTACAACCACGACCCTTACTTTGATTAAATAAACAAATTTTATTTTATCGATTCCGGCGTTTATTTATTTGACATTGAACTAAAATTAGTACAGACTTAACAAGTAGACAACACGTGCAAGGAGTTTGCCTTCAATATACCCTGTAATTTAAATATTTAAATAGTATCGATTGGTTTTGACAACATCCCTTTCCAAAGCGCGTATTTTTTTTACGTCTACTCTCATTTCCATTCATGCATTACGCAATCCATTAACACTTTATGAGCTTTAATCCAACAAAAATCGATGAAAGGTCATCATACCTTTTTCACATTTTTTTTTCACTCTCACTTCTCCTAATTTTAGGTAAGCTCTAAAATAAGATATAAAGCCTGCATATTTATGTAGTGGTATAGCGGGCTCATGCACAGCTGTTTGTTTGTTGTTTTTCAATTTTTTATTCCCATAAGAACCAATTTGAAATTCCCCACTCAACGCAGAGTGAAAATAAATAGTATACAAAAATAAACAGCAACCAAAGTAACACCCATTCATGAGTTCATAGTCCAAAGCTACATATATATGTAATGTACTACGTATAATAAGTAATTATTTTATAATATTCAAAAGAAAAAAATCTATTACATATTTATATGTACTATACACCGCACACATACATTCATTCATGGCAAAAAGTATTGGCACAGAGTTTTTCACAATGCATGCGGAGGAGAAGCTCGGCCAAACACTAACATATGTATGTGTAAGCGCCAAACTATTATTAACCGACTTCCAAAAAAGGAGGAGGTTATCAGTTCGTCGGAATATTTTTTTTTTTTTATGTATGTTACCGCATAACTTTGGACCACGTCAACCGATTTCGATAATTCTTTGCATCGGAAAGGCAGGAGAATTGAAGTTGGTTTTTTTTGCTAAAAATTACTTGTATATTATTGTTATGCAACACTTTTTATTTTTTTGTTATTTTTTTTTAGTTTTTTATAAAAATATGGTTCATGGCTACAAAAAAAAAACATATCTAAACTTCAAAACTTTGTGCAAAATTTAGGAAAATTTAATAAATTTTCAACTTTTAACCAGTTGTTTTAGAATCTACAAGCTGAAGTTGCTAAAAACTCGCTTTCATTTTTGAGATTTTTTTTTGCTGAAGGTGTTTCGCATTTTTTCGATGCAAAATATTTTCGATTTTGTTTTTATAAGGATGAAAAGATATGAAAAAAATTCCGAAAATCAACAATAACTTCTAGCTACTTCAAACTTGCACATTATTATACTAAAATTTACAAAATTGAATACTCAAAAAAATTTTAAAAAATCTGATTAAAAAGTGAGTTTTGCACAAAGTTTAGAAATTATATTTTTATATTTTTTGTTGTAGTATGAACCATATTGAGTACACACTCATAAGTATCTTTGAAATAGCCCACAGCAAAAAATCGGTAATCGCTTTTAGTGGTAACGTGTTCTAGAAGGCATAGCGTTATAGCGTTATAATGCCTTCGAATTTTTTCGCTTCTTTTAGGCATTGCCGGTAATGCAAAGTAGAATGTCCTACAATATTTTATTTATTTCGCTTCTTTGCTTCATTTCAGGGAATGCAAAGCAGTATGTTCTACAATATTTTATTTGTTTCGCTTCTTTGCTTCATTTTAGGGAATGCAAAATAGAATGTCCTACAATATTTTTTTTTTATTTCGCTTCCTTGCTTCATTTCGGGGAATGCAAAGTAGCAAGGAATGAAACCGATTCAAAATAACGTTCCGGTTTGGGTTTCGGTTTTGCCAAGTGTTTCGGTTTCGGTTTTGGTTTCGTTCTTCAAAATTTATTTCGGTTTTGGTTTCGGTTTCGTTCCGGTTTCGGTTTTTCACAGAAATTTTGTTGATATTATTTAAATCACAATGTCTTAAACGTTGAGGAAAGAAAATCGAAAATTACAGTCACTGATAATATCAACATTAGGTTCTTTCCCTAACAATCCGGACCGGATTTGGTAATTAGAGAATAAGAGAAACATTTTCTTTCAAAAATGGAACAAAGTTCAGAAGTACGGAAACGCAAAAACCCACATTTCGTGCCCACAAGTCGAGAAACAGCTGATTCACGTTGTTCTTGTTTTTGTCACTTATACCATGTTCTGACCGACATCGGAAACATGTTTTCGTTGCTAAAACTGGTTTTCGACCTAAAACTTGTGTTTTCGTCCATATAAAATCTGTTAAACGAAAACCAGTTTTCGCTGAAAACTACTTGAAAACTCACTTTCCACTCATTCCAATCGGTGTCTTCACTAGTTTTTTTCGATTATTTATCGAAGTGGAAGTCATATTTTATCATCTTTAATACGCCATTTCGGATTAATTGTTAATTGCCTGGCCAAAGCAAAATAAGAATGAAAGTTAAAGGTTGTAAATGAAAAGAAAATGAAGGAAAAATGTTTTGGTTGTCGGTCAGAACATGGTATTAAATGCAAACACTTGGAAATTGAATTTTGGTTTCACAAATTTGATTTTAAGTACATAGATTGAAAATACATCAACAGGCCATTCACTTTTCCTTAAAAGCACCAAGTAAATGCAGGCAACATGTAAACACAATACAGCTGATATGCACTTTGACACTTTATCCATTTTTACTCGGAGAAAATTTCGGGCTGTTTAGGGCAGGAAGAAGAATACACTAACGATCGAATACGCTCGAATTTTCGCTCTCTATTACCCATTTTGTTGAGTACAGGCATGATTTCTGGGCTATTTTGGGCACACGCGGGATCTCGCATTGCGTACGCGAAAGAAACTACTTAAATATAATTAATCGATTATCGATTCACAACAACAAAGTCATCAGCAGATTTTTGCGAAAAGTTACCTTGCCATACTTATTTACTACTTAACAAGAATTTTAGCAAAATGTTGCTGATTTTGGTTAAATAAATCATTTATTTCAA